CAGGGCATTTTACACTGTCGATTTTTAAAAAACTCAAACATTCTTTGCAAAACAAAAAAAGTAGGGACGCGCTAGTGTTTGTGGAAATAAACATTGATGCTAATGGTGGAGCTTATCTTGTGATCTTGAAGTTGTTATCCAGGGAAGGACACGCGATACAGTTATCCTGAGCGGACACTTGCCTCTGGGCTCCCACTCCGCTCGAGCCAATTTGGGTTATTCTTGTATCCTTATCTAACCTAACAAGTTGTAGGCTTATCTTATAGCAACCCGACACCATGCCCAACCCTAAAACAGCCAAATCTTCCGTTTATAAACCAACTGAAGAGCGAACAAGGAAGAATATGCTAACTAGCAATTCTTCCTTGCAGCACGAGGTGCTTGCTAGCGGCTCTGACACACAGATATCTCCCAATCTGTCACAGAAGATTTCAGCTCTAATTGATATGAAGTTTAAGGAGTTCTCCACCACTTTGGGTAACATCTCTCTGCTAAATTAGAAGCCAACACGGAACGCATCACGGAAGCAGAGCACCGCATCTCATCGGTGGAGGACGACATGTCGGCGGTGAGACCCAAGCTGAAAGAGCTGGAGTCTAAAGTGCGCACTCTGACGGAGAAATGTACCGATTTGGAGGGACGCAGCTGTAGGGATAATATCTTGATTTACAACTTCAAAGAAGACAAGGTAGGCCAACAACCAGTCTCATTTGTTGAGAGATGGCTTCCTACTCTTCTTGGCTTGGAGTCTAAGCGGGGCGTCATTAAGATCGATGAGGCTCAACGAGCCCCGGACCACCGAGACCTGACCGGCCGTGCACTGTGATTGTTAAGTTACATCACTCCAGAGATACATCCAGGATCCTGGCGGCGGCAAGGAAGCAGGCTCCGCTCACATGCGAAGGCCAAACGGTCTTCATCAGACAGGATATGACCGCTGCTGTCAAGGATATGTGCCATGCGTTTAACGGGGTGTGTGAACTTCTTGTTAAGAAGGAGGTGAGATTCTT